AAAGTGCTCTTACTGAGGGGATGTTTCAAATTCTTTTCTTTAACCCATACACTTTATATACTTCTCTATCTTTAGCTGGCATGTTGGTATTTTGACAATTGCATCTTGTGTTTGTTCAGGCTCTTCAGGCCTTTCAAAGGGAAATGTTGGAATTTTCCTTCAAAAGGGGAAAGAAAAGACACTTTCACCTTGTAGAAAGGATGTGTTCAGGTTTTTAATTTTTTTTTTTTAAGAGCCTGTTCCTGGCTCCATGCCCAGCAGTTCTATCAGTGCAATCTAGCAGCTTGCCAGCTTTGTGTTGCTCTGTTCCCCCTGAGACTTAAAGAAAATCTGGTCTTCACATTTAGAAGACAGCCAAAGGATGAAATACTTTGATCCTTCAGAGCAACATTAGAGTAGGCCTCCTCCCAAATACTAAATATGACAAAGCACACTTAATTTATTCATTCTTTGTGTAAACACTGAATATTTTCTGTAAAAACTCAAAAGATTTAGAAGAGACTTTTTATTAATTCAAAATAAACCAAGTCTTTTAATAAGACATCAGCATGATGGGAATTGTACAGCAGTAGAATGGGGCAGAAAAATCTGATTTTCCTGAAAACTAATTGATACTGCTTTTTTTAATAGGTAAAGAGCTTTTATAAAGGAATCTAATTGTGCAAGGAGTACTATAAACAAAGCACATCGGTGTGCTGAGGACTACAAAACTAACCTTTCAATCTTATATTTCAGGATTGATTTCCTACACAGAGTATCTGTTTTTGCTGACAATACTCACAAGTAAGTATTTTGTTGGTGTCTGTACTTTGTAATTTAAATAAATATTAATTGCTATTATTAGCTCATTTTACTCATATGATCCAGTTAAAGCTCAGCTGATAAAGATATGAACTTAGAAAAATAATTGGTCACACGCATAGAGAGAAATACAGAAAAAGACTTACTACAGGTCCTTAGAAAGTGAAGGCATCTTAAACTTGCCTTACCTGCTTACTTTAATGTTTAGACAAGTTCATAAGTGATGGATCCTTGAGATATCTAGGCCTCAAGTTGTTCAGTGCTTTAAAGGTCAAAATCTTAATTTCTGCATCCAGAAAACAACCAATAATCGGTACTTTATACTAAAAGAAGCTTCTGGGTGCGTTTCAAGGGTAGCTGATCGTTGCAGTGATCTCTTGAGGGAGATGGGCAGTCTAGAAATGCAATCAATCAATCTGAGTGCAGCTTAGGCATGGGTAGTTATTGCCAAGTCAAGTTAGCATACCTGCAGTATGATTGCACAAAATTCCTCTTTGGGGACTAATACATACTTGTGTCATGATTCCATTTTCCTATTAAGCAACCCCTTGGTGGCAGGATTAAATTTCATTTTGTGTATTCGCATGGCCCCTTTCTGCCTCTTCCCTGTTCCTTGAAAAAACCTTCCCAAGCCTGGAGAGAGTGGGAGAAAACATGTTTAGGGATGTCAGTGTTCAAATATACAATTTTCCATTCCACCTGTTAGTATCTTCCCAGATCATGGGAACAGTTGGAAGAGAGTAAGCAGCAGCTTCTTTCCAAATGGTTCAGAACTAGTATAACTCTCAGAATTGCTAGCAGCATTTCCAAGTCAATTGAGGAAAGATGAAGGCTGATGAAGCCTATTTAGAGTCCTAAGGATTCATCTCTCTTGTTGAATAGCTTTTGGTAGGGTTTGTCTGTCTTGGCATCTGCCTCCCATGATGATTTAAAGAAAAAATATGGGCTGTTGCTATTTTGATAAAGTTAAATGTTATTTTTTATGGCCAACACCCAAATATAATTTCTGTTAACAGCCAATGCGAATATTTGATACTCTCATCCTAAAAATATTGTCTGCGTAATGAAATGGAAGTGTGTGGGGCTTTTCTTTGAACCTCCCTTATTTTATAAATACATACCATTAAACTTGCCTCATATCAGATAAGAATGTCATCTAGTGAGCTGCACGGCTGCTTTTGCTCCTATGCCTTCTATAGGGCTGCCTCCTTATCAACCTGTTGCAGCAGCTGGTTTGTTTCACTGCTTTATCATTTTGCTTTATTCTACAGTAAACTAATAGGCTCCATATATACAGTGTTACTGATTCAAAATGTCAACTTAATAAAATTCAGTGGCCATTCTAAATCATTATGGCTTCTTGCCCTAAGGCCTAAGCAATAGACTGTAGATGCCTTGTTTGTATATGTGTGGGTGGGTGGGTGTGGGTGTGGGTGTGTATGTAAAAGCTTCCCTGACATTCTTTGTGTATTCTTAGAGGATCTTAATGCCGTCACATTGGCTCAGTTGAAATAATATCAATTTGATTCTCCAAATTTTGATTTGCTGGACTTCTTTTTAGTAACACAAACTCTAATTTAGGGCATTCCCATATTATGTATAGAATGTGTAATGTGTGTTTTTAAAAATAGCAACCAAATTGGTAAATCTTTCATTGTGTGGTACTTGGTTTTGTAGATACTCAGTACCTTCTGCTAGCAAATCTAGAAATGGTTTTTAAAAATGGCTTCACATCCACCTGTTTATTTGATAATTTTATATCCTATCTTTACTCCAGGAGCTTGAGATTGCATCCATAAAATCCTACATTCAATTTTTCCCACAGAAAAAATCTCTGAGAGTAGATTGGTATGAGAGTGTGTGAATGATCACAAGTGACCCATTGAATTTCCATAGTTTAGGATAGCCTTGAACTTGGGTCTCCCTGGTCCTAGTTTATTATCTTAACTGTTACAATACACAAATTTATTTTATGTAAATTTGGAAGCATGGGTCTATTTATAGGGTAGTAGACAGTATCACTTACATGTGAAGTTTTTTTTGAACACATCTATTATTTATTGTAGAACCACAGACTGGATTTCGTATTGCTTTTAAAATGTTGGATGCAGATGGCAATGAACAAGTAGAGAAAAAAGAATTCTTTAAGGTATGATTTTAAACAATTGATCAGTTGCTCTTGACGGCTGGGGGGCTGGGACATGAGTCCAACCCATTATAGAGCCATACATTTCTTCCTCTGTTTTTGAAGTTCATAAATTCTAAGTCATGAATATTATCTTAACTATAAACAAGAGTGTATTTTTTCTGAGGTGATAATAAATGTATGTCAAACATGCCCTTCTACTTTCGTTTATTATTGATGTGCAGTGTTTAATAATATGTTTTGGGGCAAAACAGTTACTTGTGCTCATTTCATATGCAAGTAAGATAAAGTTCCAGATTTTCCAGTCCAGAATTCAACAATAAATGGAATGAGTACTGCCAAAAGTACAAGCAGGATTCAAAAGATCACATATCTAAGATCACTTTTTTGTTTGTTTGTTGTTAAATTTATTTGCCTCCTATCACACCATGGGGCTTACAATAATGAAAATGAAAAAAAAATGAAAAGAGTATAAACAGAACAGAAATAAAATAAGAGAATAAAATAAACAAGGACAAAGGAACACAATGAGAATAATAAATCAATATGATAAGCAAAAAGATGGATGGGTGGAGAGCAGAGAGTGGGGGTGAGGTGTGTGAAGTCTGCCGTTAATTTAGCAGCCATCTCCATCATGGAATTCCCTCATCTGGTCCTCAGGCCAACCGGCAGAGCCAGGTCTTTAGGCTCCTGCGGAAGGATTGGATGGTGGGGGCAGATCTTACTTTAGAGCAGTGTTTCTCAACCTTGACAATTTTAAGGCATGTGGACTTCAACTCCCAGAATTCCACAGCCAGCAATGCTGGCTGTGGAATTCTGGGAGTTGAAGTCCACATGCCTTAAAATTGTTAAGGTTGAGAAACACTGCTTTAGAGGGTAAGATATTCCAAAGGGCAGGTGCTGCAACAGAGAAGGCTCTTCTTCTGGATCCTGATAGTCAAAGAGTTCTTTGACCGACAGGATCCAAAGTAGGCCTGTCTGCTGGCACTAGTAGGACCGGCTTGTCCTAGTGGGACATAGCTAACATCCTATGGATAATGACAGAGGCAAGATTTGGGGCTGTTTAAATGATCATTATGGATAGCCCTTAAAAGAAAGAGCGTGCCAAGTAACCTCGTTTGCCTATTGATTTTATATGATGAGTATCAGTTTGAATGGAATATGGGCTAACTAAATATTTCATATTAGAAAAGAGATGTATTGGAGTTGTACGTCATCTTGCTTATTGTATGCATAGTATATCATGACAAATGCTGAAGTAGAAGAAATAGATAATCGGAATTAAAATTGTTAGGAGAAACATCAGCAGCCTCAGATGATTAGAAATGAGGGAGGCTTAAGGAATCTCCTGGTGAAGGTGGGCAAAGGCTGCCACAGCCAGTTTACTGCTCAATATTAAAAAAATAAAACTAAGGTTGTATCAACACTCATTGCCATCTACTGTAAACAAGTGGGAAAAAGCTGAAGTAATAACAGACTTTATCTTCCTAATTCAGAAACTCATAATGATGGTAACTAGGGTAAATAAAAAGATATTTGCTCCTTGGGAGAATGACTGTGATAGATCTCGACAAAGTGCAGATACATCTCACTGACAACAAAGCCATATATTGTCAGGGGCATTGTTTTCCCAGTTTTATCATGTGGATAAGAAAGCAGGATCATCAGAAAAGCTGGGGGGAAAACTTGGAAAGAATAACTTGGAAAAAACTTGGAAAGAATAACTTGCATAGCAAGAAGAACAAGTATTTCGATATTAGATGAAATAAAACAGATCTCACCAGAAGAACTAATAATGAACCTAAAACTTAAACATTTTGGACATATAATGTAAAGAATGAAACTCTAACTCTTGGAAAAATTGAAAACAATCAGAAAGAGGCTGACACAAGCCAAGGTTTTAATTTTTTACTATGGATGTTTTAAATTTGTCTGTGTTTAAATTTGTCATGCAAACTGGTAAAAATGTATTTGAATTGCTGCAGGATATAAATGTGATAAATGAATAAAGCACTAAATACTATAACATAACCACGATCTCACAAGAATTCAAAAGAAGCCTTTACTGACAGGCAATATGATATCCATCAGATCACAAAAAGCTGGAAGTGACTAAAAAGCTGAATAACAAAAACAAATTTAAGAAAATACTGCTTTTTTCAAACCTAACCTGTCAAAATTTCTTTTAACATAGGATGTGAGGAATCAAAGGTACATTTTTAAGGTTTATAAAGTACAGGTAGTCCTCAACTTATGACCATAATTGGTTGGTACCAAAATTGCAGCCCATAAGTTGCTGCAGTTTAAATCAAGTCACCATTTGACTGGAATGATTTTACAACTATTTTTTACTATGGTCATTAAAGTGAATCACATAGTTAAGTGAATCCAGCTTTCCCAATAGACATTTTCTACTGGAAATCATCAAAAAAAGGTTGCAAATTGCAAATTATGCAACTACAGGACACTGCAACCATTTGTAAATGCAATCCAATTGCCAAGCACCTAAACTGTGATCACATGACTGTAAGGGTGGTGTGACAGTCATAAGTGTAAGAGACGGGCCATAAAACACTTTTTCCCAAGGTTGTAACTTCAGACTTTTGTTAGATGAACAGTCCTAAGTCAAGGACTACCTGAGGGAGAGATGTAAGGAGAGTTCATTTTTATCATTTAGAAAGAAGGTCATATGTTCCTTCTCTCACAATGATAAACATAAGCACTTCTAAGCACCTTTCAATCCTGCACTTTCTGTTTCTATCTTTGTTGCTATCATAAATAATAAATTTTATGTGTTTATTTTTGCTATCCATTTGAGGACTGGTGTTATCATCTTTGAAAGGTAGGGGGGCTTAGCAGTGCTACACTGTACTCAATTTCTTTTTGCACACATGATAAAATTGCTGAGAAATGCTTTACAAAAAAAAAAAAAATCCTGCCAGGAGTCTGTTGGATGATTACTTTAGGACTTAAAACAATAAGCAAATGCAGCTTTTGATAGAAAACTTTTGAATCTAAAACCTATTTTTATTGTATAGGTAGTCATGATTATTCAATCATTTGGCTTTTTAAAAGAAAACACAGCTTTGTATCAAACACATATCAGTGTTTTGACTATTCAGAATGTTTAAAAGGCACTATTTCAATACGTTTTTAAAAGCTACAATCTACAAAGCGAGATCATTTTCATTCAGTAGTGGCTGTTTTAATTTAGGGTTGATGTCCATGGTATCTAGTGAAGGCCTTTCTCACTGCTACTGCCTGAGAATCTTTATCTAGAAATGGCAGGGGTAGAGAAATATTTCCTGCATGCACAGGAATGTGGCTTGCCAGTTAATTTTCCCAGTCAAATTGATAGTATTTTCCTATACTTCAGACAAGAGGAATAAGCAAAAGAGAAATTAAGCTTCATAAGGCTGCTTAGTAAACTGTCTGAAGAAAAATTTGAACTGGGGGAGAATTCATGCCCTCTCTATGAAAGCTCTCATTTAACTTTGAGATAAATCAATGGTATATAAAAGCATTTATCTGATTTTACTTTTCTCTGATGCTGTGCTGCCCTGCTTCAACTTATGATATATTTCTGTATGTATTTTAATATTTTTGTAAGAAAGTCATTGTGCAACTAGTTCTCTCCATCATTTGCTTAATAAACACACTCCCACGACTCCAAAGAATCGGGACCTTCCCAAACGGTGTGGACTGTGGATTGGTCCTCTGGGTTAAGGAGGATAATTAAGACTGGGGAGAACACAAACGGATTATTCAAACAAAGTTTGAATCTATAATCTTTGGAAATGACAAATGTACAGTTAACTTTCTGTGGGTTTAAAGAATTAATTTCAACGAGCGAGCAGTTTTTCTTGTGATCATATTCCTTCATGGAAAATCCTGGAATAAAATATTTCTTCCTACCCCTCTCCTTCCATCAGTGTGATAGTTCTATACTTGTGCTTCCTGTCACACATTACATTTACTTTGTAATTCATGTATAATGTATACATTCTATGCTTGTTTAGTGTTCTGGTATGGAAGATTTTCTACATAGAGACTTTCATAATAAATAAAGGAGGCCTCAATCTTTGTAACCTCATTAAATATTCTGTATATGTTGTGGGAATGTCCTGATCACACTCAGAAAAATAGAAGATAATAAATACATATTTTTGTTTTAGCTTCAGAAAATAATTGGAAAGCAAGATGAGTTTAAAACAGCTTCAGGAGATGACATCCTGTCTCAGGTAGGTACCACTCCAAGGAAGATCCATATGAATTTTCTGATGCATCTATATAATTTGTTCTCTGTTAAAATATTTGTGATGTTTATTTATTTACTTAGTCTATGTATATAGTAAATAAACTAATGATTGAGGGTTTTTTTTCCTGAGATACTTTTCTAAACTGAGGGAACTCAGAGTTAAGGTGAAGGTTATATAATAAGGATAAAAGGGAGATTTATGGATCATCATCACAAAAAAGATTATATTATGATAATGTCTATTAGGTTTTAATTCTTTGATTTTGGTTTTTGGGTGCCTTCAATCATTCTTCACTCTTGATGACTATATGGACATGCTCATAATTTTTTCTTAGAACATTCTTCAGAAGTTTTTTTGTCATTACCTTCTTCCTAGAGCTGAAAGGGAGTGACTGACCCAAAGTCACCCAGTTGGCTCTATGCCTAAGGCACAACAAAAACAGTCTCCAGCTTCTGCCTTTAACTCCTACAGCAAACTGGCTATAAGTATCTAAAATGTAATATGATTTATATATTTTAAATTTCTCTAGTTACAATTGTATAAATAATATAAAACTTACAAAAATAATAATAAAACATAGTTGTTCAAGTTTGGTCCACAGTAGGTGATTGCACCTTGATAACATTGGCTAATGTTTAAAAAAAAAAGAGCATTAGACCTGATTAATACTTGGATGGGAGGCAATGAACATATCCTAGCATACCCTAGGCTACATGGAGAAGTTGAAAAAACATCCCACAGGAAAGCAGTAACCAATTACATGAGTATGGACATGGTATTACTGGCTTTGCAGGATAAGAGGCATGCTTGCCCATTAATTTTCTTACAATGGGTTTAGTAGATTGTTCTAATGCATTCTAGAATGTTCAATATAATTCCATTATGTGCTCCAACTGTCTTAGTTTTACAGACACGCCATATACATGTTTCATTTATTTCTTTTGTTTATTAATGCTGTTTATTAATGTCATAATTGTTACCAGTTGAGCCCATAAATATTGACCTCCATCAATCATGACTTTGGTCAATGCTGCTTGTGATCACCTTGTCTTTTTTTGCAAATGTACTAAATATGCAGAAATTCCATTTTCCATTATGGAATCTCCTTAGGATAACATTTATTATGTTGTGTATTTTTTTTTACTTTAGAAACTACATTTAATAAAAGGTTCTACATTTCATTATTGACCTTTTCCTTAATTTATAAACATGGTAAAACAGCTTGGTTTTTCTGTTGCAACCAAAACTGGTTACAGGTTTTGTAACTGCAAAGCCAGGAGTTCAGAATCTTGCAAGCTTCAATGTGTTTCTCCTCCCTGATTTGCAAATTCCAGACATTTCTTTCCACCACCCCCCACCCCATCTCTGGGATCTGCATAAGACTTGCAAGTTGCCTAGTTTTTTGTGGGGAGTGAGAGAGTCAAGGGGCAAATTGAATGACATTAAATCTCAGCAAATTTTCAACCCCCCCAAGCCTCTCCAGCTATGAAAAGGGTGGCCACATTTATGCTGTAAGCAAAGCTCTCACTTCTAGTATCCTTGTTATTTACATTGTTAACTTTCCTTCCTTATTTGCTAGTTTTTGCACTCTACAAGGGTTCGTGGCAGTAGGTAAATATTTCTGAGTTCAGCAGCAAATAAAAATGGGTAGAGGCTCTAGCTCAGTCTTTGTCTGAGAATTGGCTCCCCGTCCACAAAAAGGACACACAGTAAAAAAAGAAGAAGAAAAAAATATCCTAGGAAATCAGAGTAAAGGGAACCATAACATTTCAGCTGGCCTTTCAGTAAATTGTATAACTAGACAGCCTGCATCATCATAGTAGATGTTTTGCAAGAGTACCTACAAGGTTCTCTCAAAATTCCAAATACTTTTACCAATCAAAAAGGTTCCCTACCTCTTTTGCAGCATACTATCATTATCAATTGCTATCATTCCCAGGTGTAGTGAGTTAATACTGAACTTAATGTGTATATTTTCAGTTACAAAAGTCAATGATAAAATACAGCATGCACAATAAGCTATTTTAAGTGCTCTAAATGTGGCCCGTTTTACTTAGTTTAGTGGAAAGTAACATCGGACAAATGAGTGCTATCCCTTTTCCCATAAAGTGTGTTGTTACTTGTGCAATAAGCATGAAACACATCAAAGTAATACAACCTGAAGATAATACTAAAATCCAAATAACCACTAGAATTTGAATCCTTGAATAGATCTCTGTCTCAACTTTTTTTTTCAGCAGAAGAAAAGACAGAGAGATCATGTAGATGTCATAAGGAGGGTACTGTTGAAATCCCTGTGGATTCCATGATGTTTAGTGTGTTGTTGTGTTCAAAGAAATGCCACTTAGTCTAAGTGATGAAAGAAAATTATAACGTAGAAGTCTCTCGCTTTGCGTAGTTTCAGCTGTCAGAAAAAAAATGAAATAACTGAAATATAGAAATACATTCCTTGATTTCTCCTAAGCACTTTTACTAAGGGAAAAATCAACTTTATGTGAATTATTTATTTCTCTTGAATAAGAAATAGATGAATTCATGTAGCTATTGGCTTCATATTTTGGCATATCTAACTGCATAGGTAAAGTTTGATATATAAATTTAGAACTCTTTATCGTTTACATTTTTTCTAAAGTAAATTTAGTTTTCCCAGATAGAGATAAAAACTTACTGGAATCAATACTATTTATACTGTAAATATTCACTTGCAAGTATCGCAATAAATATTTTAAGAGTTTGTTTTTTTAAAAAAAAAAACCATAGAATCCTGGACTACATTTTAAAAAGTAGCATTAATAACTGATAAAAGTATTTGAAATAATTATTCATTTCAAATATTTTTCTTCACTGGTAGAAATAGAAATAATATTTTAAAGTAGCTGCAGTTTTCATACAGTGCTTCCTTATGTGGATGTTTCTTTTTTGGAATGAGACTTGACTAACTCCTAATAGAGTTCTTCTTGAAACTTATGTGATCAACATTAAAAACTATTTTTTTTTCATATACCCATTGGAAATGGGGCTAAAATATTCTGATAATTTTTTTTGAAATTGTCCGTAGGAACTGCATACATGTTCCTACAACAAAACCCTGTATTATAAAAGAGTAAGCAATTTTTAACACCAAGATAGAATTTGGGAAAGTTGTTATTTGAAGTCTGATCAAATTGATAATTATCATACTATAATAATAAATTGCTTCATTTCTGTGAAGGTCTATTCCTTCATTTAAAGTTCATTTTGGATTTTAGTTTGCATTGTTCGGGGTAAATAATTACATCTTTTGCTTCAGTTATTTACGACTGGATTACAAAAGTACAAATAAATCTGGAGGTATTCCATCAAATGTTAACTCCTAATTTGTTGTTACTTGTTTACAGGAATCAGAAATGGAAGGTACTGATATCAACACCATGTTACTGGTCCACTTTTTTGGAAAAGGAGGAAAAGATAAACTTCAGTATTCGGAATTCCAAAGGTAACATTATAAAATCTTTGAATTGTGTTTACATATTTAAAACCATTAAACCTGGATAAGGATTATGATCAACAGGCTTTCAGAGGCAAAAACAGAATATATGGGTTTAGTACTCTTTTTAAAACTTATTCCAGGTTTGTCAGGTGGTTAACCCAATACTTCTGAAGGCAAAGGGGGAATCAAGGGTTTAATACAGGGATGTCATACTCTCAATGTCACGTGATGTGTCACGACATATCGTGACTTTTTTTCCATTGCCGGCAATGGGGTGGGCGCAGTTTCGGCATGACACATCCGGGCCGTGGGCCGGCAATTTGACACCCCTGGTTTAATAATTTAAGTTCTCAAAGCGTGAGTATCTTTGGTAGATGACTAAGTCCACATTTTGCCTTTCTGAGAGAAACTTGAGACTTTTTGTAAATCACCCATGATGTCCACATGGGGCAAAAAAAACCCATGACAAACTTGGATGCATGATAAGTTTGCTTTTAATTAACATCAACTACAGGTGATCCTTGACATACTACCATTTACTTAGTGACCATTCAAAGTTATAATGCCACTGACTAAAGTGACTAAAAAGTGACTAACAATTGGTTCTCACACATACGACCATCAAAGCATCCCCACATGATCAGAATTCAAGCGCTTGACAACCGGCATGTGTTTATGACAAGTGCGGCGTCCTGAGGTCATGTGAACGCTATTTGTGACCTACAAGCAAAGCTAATGGGGGAAGTTGGATTAATTAACAACTTCATGATTCACTTTGCAGTGAATCACTTAACCATAGCAAAAAAGATCATAAAATCAAGCACGATTCACTTAACAACCATCTTGCTTAGCAATGGAAATTCTGGTCCTAATTGTGTCCGTAAGTCAAGGACTACCTTGTATCATCCTGTTCTGTTCTTTGCTGCAAGTTACTTTGGAATCTCATCCTGATTTTTATAGCCTTTTTAAAAATAATTGTCATATCTTTTATTTCAGAAGGATCCCAAATATCTCTCCATATTTGGGACACTGGGAATTGCATTAGATGTTATGTCAAGATAGTGTTTCTCTCTGGAATGCTTTAATAGCACTAATTTCTATAGTGCTATTCCCAGAAAATGCCTAGACTTCAGTTCTTACTTTTAGACATTTAATAAAACAAGTCATGCTTAACTAATAATAGAGATTCTGATTATCTTCATCTGACTTTTATGTAGATTACTACAATTCTGCATTTTATTCTATCTTTTTAATGTCATGTTGTGCACTGCTCTGTGCTTCAAGTCAGGATTGTAATATGATTTGTTTTAAATTAAACATTTTTTACTCAACACTTAATTAAAATGAGCATTAGTTGATCCTGTGTTGGGAATAAATAGTTAAAATGCTATTTTTAAAAAAGAGACTGTTTAAATGCAGACAAGTGGCCCCTTTATCCTATGAAATAGAAAATAAGACTTAAAGCTATACGACTTCTACCTTGAAAAATGCTGAAGAAAATATCCCACTTAGTAATATAAATAAATTTAATATCAATCGTTTTCTTTGCAGAATCTTCTGCAAATGGGTCCCTCTGCTTGAATCCCATTACGTTTTCCTCAGGATTACTTTGCATGCTAACATTCATAATTATTTTCCTAAAGGTTACCATCTGTTGAAAAATATAGCTTGAGATATATTTATATCAGGGTAGGCAGAAGCACATGAAATAGAGTCATCTATTGAGAAAATAAGAATATTTTGGCATCCAAATTTCAGATCAAGAAGTGTTTGTGAAAGAAAGTTATGCATTTTCCATATTTTGATTCCATATTTTAATTTTAAATGTGCATGCCTATTATGCTCTCCCCTTTTAACAATGGAGATGTTTAACGTTGTGCATAATATAACAATATTATTCAGAGCATAGAAAATGGGTAGGAAATACTAATCAAAATATATTAAAGACCTGAAGTGAAAGAACACAGCTAAAACTAATATTCATCTACACCACTGACTGAATGCATTCATACTTTTCTGTCTTTTCATGACCGTCCTTGCTTCATACATTGTCAGTCATGATTTCAACTTGTCTTTAAAATGTTTATTTTATTTACAATGCTTGTAAATCACATTGACTCGGGCAGTGTATAACAAAGTAAGTAACATAAAATATTGTAACTTATGACCAAAATTGGGACCAGAATTTTCGTTGCTAACCAAGGCAGTTGTGAGTTGCACCCACTTTTATGACCTTTTTTGCCACGGTTGTTAAGCAAACCATTGCAGTTAAGTGAATTGCATATTTGTTAAACAAATCTGACTTTCCCCGTTGACTTTGCTTGTCAGGGATCATCTGGGAAGGTCTCAAATGGCAATCACATGACCTTGGGATGCTGCAACCATTGTATATACCCAAGCACTTGAGTTTTGATCACATAACCATGAGGATTCTGCAATGGTCATTGGTGCAAGAATTGTTCTTAAGTCACTTTTTTCAAAGCTGTTGCAACTTTGAACAGTCACTAAATGAATGGTTGTAAGTCAAGAACTACCTGTTTCATCTTCATGGCCTTGAGAGCTACAAGGAGCATCAGGGACAAACATATTTTTGGGAAAGAGAGTATTCCATATAGAGTCAAGAGGTGATCAGGACTGAATTCCCATTGCCAGATCATCCTGATTCAGTAGAGCTATAATCAATGTACCAGTTAGAACACGGCAAGGACTTTTTCATCATGGCAGCTTAAGTAGGGCATGTCAGTCCAGAGGAATATCCACGACTTGCTCTTTCATGAATCAGCACTGAATTGAAGTCTTCATAAGTGAAGGACAAAATATGACTGTACATGGAAATAAAATGTTATTTTGTTTTTCTTAGACTCCAGTAGCACCTTCTTTCTAATTTGGATCTGAGTAAAAATGATTCTCAGTAAAATTTGAAAATATGGTATACAGTCACTTGTAGCTGTCCCAAACCATTGATGTCTACTATACCTTCTGTCATAATACAAAAATTCTGATTCTCAGGTGCAAGGCTTAAGATTTTTATCCTGCCTGTCTATTTTCCCCACAGCAACCCTGTGAGATGGGTGGTGTGACTGGCCCAAAGCCACCCAACATTCCCTCATAACAGAAAAAACAATACTCATCAGTTTGGGAATATTTTGACCAATGTCAAACCGAATGAAACCCAGTCCAATTTTATCCCAGATTTGCTTACACTATTCTGTGCAAGTGAGGATTCTTTTTGTCTAATCACTGTCAAGATTGATTCGCCTTTTCACCTACATTTTCTCCCTCAGTCATATCTTGACAATGAGATGGAATGCAAAGGGAGGGAGGAGTGTTATCTAGGCAAGCAAGGCTTCTGAGAGCCAAAGTCACTAATGCAGGTGCTCAGTGGGGAAGTGGACTGTTTTCATAAGAAGAAATGTTACTATTGGACAACGTGAACACCCAGTGGATGGGGACGAAGGAGTCTGTTTAACTAAGTAAGCCTCTGAGTGGGAAAATCAGACCTGGTTTCGCTTCTTCTGTGCCAATGTAGATTTTCAGTAAAATATTATACTCTTGATAAAATCATATCCTGAGAGTTTCTTTTTCTGGAAATGCCAACTGGATAGTTGACATTCACTGCCTTATTACTCAACATAGTGTTGCCTATATTACACCAATAGATGAAATATATTGATAACGCTCACCATTTAAATAGTTTGGCCAAAGCATTGTACTGAATAGGATACATGGGCAGGTGTATCTTTCCAAAGAACAATTGAGAGACTTCGTCCATTTGGCTCAATACTGACCCTTTTCACTTTAAGATTCTTCTTATGTGTGTCCAATGGTATATTTGGGCTATTGGAAGCTCTGTATAGTGGCTCCTTTCTGCATTGTAAATGTAAATGTTGGAAAGCCAAAGACATTGGAAAGAAAAGAAGAGATTTGTTTGAAATAGTGCAGGGTTTCCTGCTTGAGCAGGAGTAGAAGGCCTCCGAGGTCCTTTTCAATTCTGTTATTTTGTTGTTGTTAAGCCTAAATCATTTAGATGGAATTCATAATACAACTGCTTCTTTCACAATTAACACTGATGCTGGTGTCGGAAGCAGCCCCATTCACAACTCAAATACAGAATTCATCTGGTTAATCCTGAATTCAGAAATGGATCGTGTTATTTTTACTCAGTATGATCAGTCCTCTTTTAAACATGCATAGCATTTCTTCCATTCATCTCACAAAAAGAAACCTTGTGGTTTTCATGTCTGGTTTCATGTCTGTTCCCTCATTCTTTTATTTTGTTATATTTTTGCTTAGAAGTAGCAAGCCTAAGAATCTGGAACAGTGAA